AGGGACACAAAGAATATAAATATTTCAAACGAAAGCTTTCTTGCCTTTTTTTTTTGTAGAGTAGACAAAAGATTTTGAAGCATCGTCGTTGCAGTGGACTTTTACTTGCATCTCAGTTTCTTTTGCTTGTATCAGAAAACAAAAATTCATGTTTCAAACTCGAACGCTGGGACTTATAAGAAGTTACGACGGATCGTTGATTATAAACTATAATAGATTTCCGAACGTTTTGTAGCATATGGTCCCAAGGCCGTCGGCGTTCATTTGGCCGCCTCCGCTGCAAATATTTCCATTTTTTTGGACCGTAGCAATCATAATATTTGCATTAATTGATTGATTTTTGAATCAGTGGGTCAACCGATAATTTTACCCGGTTTAAATTGTAAAAGTATAAAACTGAAAGGGGGTGTTATTGGATTAAGGTATTGAGTGTGTTTTGATGGATTTGGATTTAGATGGATTTTAACGTGTTTTTACTGATTCATTACAATTACTAGGATTAAAACCCCGTGCAAGCGTGGGGTTATTTGTGATAATTTTTCTGTTTGATTTTCATTGATTTTAAATTTTGAATTATGATGGTTATATGTTAACTTCCATGTTTTGGTTATATTTTGAGTTAACCCAACAATTAACACTAACAATATGATCAATTTTTTTATTAAGATATTAACACCTTACTTCATCTCGAGTTTTCTATTTCTAAAATTTAATATGCATTTGACTCAACGTTAAAATTTGTAAACATGGTGTAGAATCGCAATTGCACTCAAAATATGATGAAAAACAAAAACATGTATAACTTCTTACATATATGCTTTGTTGTGGTAGCATATGACAATTGATTATTTTCTATTATGTTAGTTTTGTAAATATAAATTGTATTTTTGAAACAAACATGTCACCATTCTTAAAATTTTCATGCTTTTCGTTGCAATGAAATTTAAATAATAACTCGACTTCTATTTTTTAATAAAACAAACTCTAACTCTAATTTTTTATTAGCTTTTTACTATGTTAAATAATTTATACTGTATTTTTTACTTGTAAGCACATTATAACATTTTTAAATAGGATAAATCCTTTGAGTTAAAACCTAACTATATACTATTTCAAGTTAAATATTTCTTTATTTCATCTCCATTTTATATTACAACTTTCTTTTAACTTTTAACATCAAGATATCACATACTTTATATTAATCAATTAAATTGTTTGTGTATTTTTCTTAGTTTTGTTTATGTGTAAAATAGAATATATATAAAGAAATATTAATACACATATATTAAATATCTTAAATACAATTAATGATTTTTTTGCTGATGTGGATAGCCTAGGAGGAGAGAGCAACTCTCCTATTATATATAAGACTAGATTAAGACCCGCGTATACACGGCTTTATTTTAAGATTTTGTAATAAAATCATGGAAAAGTATTAAACCAAATTTGATCATTTTAAAGTAAACAGAATAATATTAAAAACCCGATAAAAATATTTAAATAAAATAAGATCGGTAACCTTTTTACGTTTTTATTGTAATTGATTTTTTTTTGAATTCATGATATAAAAATGAATTAATTATTTTTTTATCCAATATAGAAAGACTTATATATGTCTAAATATGATCAACTGATTAATTAATTCAACAAAACTTATTATTCCATTCAAGAGATTTCAATTGATGAAATCTTTATTTAATAATTTTTACCTAACAATATTGAAAATTAAACTTTGTAACAGCATAAGTTCTTAATTCAGCATGGGAAGCGTGACCGGTGGAACTGTGTTTACATAATACACGTCATAAGGCTGATCTCGAGCACTCCGTGCAAATTAAACTATTTAAAATTATAATATCGGTTCATTATATTTTCTTAATATTAGTTAGTTGCTTGATAATTAATTTGTTAGTTTTCTATTTATATTGTTTCTTTCTCAATTTTGTTTTTGACTCAGACCATTATAAATTTTCATTTTTAGTTAGTTTTGCTTTTTTTTTTAAAAAATTATTTTTCTAGTTTTTATATCTGTTTAACATTTTTCCAATTAACATGTCTTCACCGGATCAAATACATGTAACGACAATAATTTTGATTTCTATCCAACGATATAGAGTTAGATACATGTATCGACAATAATTTTGATTTCTATCCAACTAATATAGAGTTAAATATTATTCATTGATACCATGAATTTTAAATACATGATTTTTTTATGAGAGACAAGATTATACAAAAGATAGGAGCACATATTGTGAGTTATAAAAATCATGCGTATTGCTATCATGTTGTTTGTTTTGATGAGTTTGTGAATGAGAAAAAAAGACTACTTTAACTCTCTTTTTATAGGGGTTCATGTAACTTATTCCATGCAGTTATAGGAAATTTAGTTTACCTAACCTATTTCATGTACTAATAGGATTTTATTTATTTAATTAATTTGAATCTTATGTGTTTGGATAATATAAATTTGATGAAGGGGAAACTTTTTTTGTATTAGGATATGACAAATATATTTTTTTTTTTCTTTTAACTATAAAAGATTAAAATTTTGTTTTTTTCCTTTATCTATATTTTTTTTTAATTATTACTCCCTCTAACCCATAATATAAGCTGTTTTAGCTTATAATTTTTGTCCCACAATATAAGCAATTTTGACATTTCAATGCACTTTTACTTTATGGAAAAGTGTGTGACCACTTATATTTTGTAGTTGTTTTTTATGATTGGTTGGATTATATTTAATCTATATTTTAAATGATATTATTTAAAGCAAAACAATTTTCTTAATTCTTGTGTTTAAGCTAAAACAGCTTATAATATGAGACAGAAGGAGTATTTTTTTCCGTTTTTTGTAAGACACATGTCACGATCTTAACGAACATAACATTAAAAGTGACACATGTCACAATATTAAATTTTATAAAAATTCTACGTGTCCCAACTACGTCGCGCGCATCCAGCTTTATAATAAGATTGCAATGTATTTCTTTGTGTTTGAAAATTCTTTAAGAAAATCAACAAAATAATAATTTATTACTTTTAAACCTGAAGAATATTCTACGTCTTTGACAAATTGAATACTTTGACCTAAAAAGTATCATAGAACCCATAATTCAGTTATGAATTCAACTTCATCATTACCACTGAATTCAATAACCCAGAGTTCGATAACCAATTATCCAAAATTCAGTGAAACCCAAAATCTCTTCGTTGAATTCTTTCCAACATCGCTGGGTTTTTTTGTGGGATTAAACTTTTTGGATAGATATAAATTTCAATGATATTTCTGGATTCATCGAGGTTTGTTCATGTTTCATAAAGCCTCAGTTAATAAATGGTAGACCTCTAACTATTTTCAACGATGAGATCTGTCAAAGTTCTTCAAAGAGGAATTTTGGAAATAATTTAATTAAGTATTTATATAATTTATTTGAAATACATTGAAACCAGAGATAAAAAGTTTGTATTTGGTGACTCATGTTTTAATGGGAAGAATACAGAAGAATCCGTTCAAATCCACTTAAACCTTAAATCCTACAAAATCAACCTCATATTGAATAACACTTGTTTTTAATGTATTTCTGAATACATCAAACAATATTTAATCCAATAACAGCTGTTTTTAATGTATTCTAAAATACATAATCCAATAACACCTCCCAAATCACCAAAAAAGAAACTTTGTTTTTTTTTGTCACAGGAAAAAGGAAAATAAGTTTCAAACAACTTTATAACCTCTGTAAATGATGATCCACAACATAATTCACTTTCTTTTTTGACAATTCTCTCGTAAAAATACTAAGAGAGATGACAAAAAAAGACAGCCAAACCTGGAATTGTAACAAAGAAAAGAAGATGATTTCGGTATCCGATAGTGTAAAAGCTTCTAACTAAAGCAGACTCCGATTAACGCTACGGATGAAATCAGATACAACGACATGAAGTTTAACGTTGAGAGAACCAAATTGATCCAGCTTGGTTTCACCCTCTTTGATAACGAAGGAAGAATTGTTGGAGCTAGATTTGACACCCAAATCTGGCCCATTCAAAAGCCCAACTAAAGTTCATCTCGGAGTCCGTTGACCGAAAGCCCGCTTGCCCGAAGGCCCAATCCCGGTTCCAAGCTATGCGACATGGAGCTGCACGTGGAATGAAAGTAGGAGATCGAGTCCAAAACAGTTCGAGGTAGATCGCCGAGAATCCGGAGAACGAACTCCCGATATCCGCGTCGCAGCTGGGAGTCGAAATGGATATATAAGGCAGCTAGGGCAAATAGAGGCGGATCATCTTTTACTCGTTTAAATATTCTCTTGTATGCTCTCATCGACCGAGCTATCACATTTCGAATACCTTTTGTAAACACTTTCCCAATCAATACAAATCCATTTGAGTGTTCTAAGTTCTTATTCTTGTTTGGTTCATTGTGCGATTTCTACCTATCTCTTTCTCATCTCTTCATTCACTCTAAATACTTGGGTGTGGGTATTGTGTCCCACAAGAATCTTTGGAACATGGGAAGTGAATTTTTCAGATTTTGACGAAACAAAAGAAGCCCAAAACGACAAGTCAATCGAGTTTCTGAGACGCAATGGACTAAATTTGAAGAAAATCAGAGACCAAGGAGTACATATTGACGAATTCTTCACAGAGTTTTCTCAGATTCTGAAAGAAAAACGAGGATGAGAAGTTAACCTGAGTCACTTTCGATGGGTCACTTTCGTCAGATTCTCATCAGAAGCCTCAGTCTTCACCGCAAGAATGGCATGCTCTACTGAGCTGAGCTGATAAAACCATTATCTTCTTCTTCTCTCTATTTTTGCAAATCAGACTCTTCCTCTAAGAGCGTTTCGCCTTCACCATCAGCTTCTGACTTTTTGTATCTCTTCCCTCTGTATGCGAACTTGCTTCTAGATTTTGAGGCGTCTTTGTATTTGCTAGGAAACTTTTTCCCCCTCTTGCCATTTAAGTTCAATTTCACGAAATTGCCCTCACCGCCACTACGAAACACCGGAGCTTTCCAGCAGAGAGGTTACGGAATCCGTAAATAGATTAGGAGGCTTTCTCCTAACGGGTTTCGGAGGATCGATTACGACATGAGGTAGCTCCGGCACGCAATTGACGGCGTCTGATTGGCATTCTGGCGTCGATTTCTCTTCAGATGTGAGAGAAGCTTTGCGGAGTCTATAGAAGGACAAAACAGAAGAGGAAACCCCAGTGGGTTGAGATAGATTTGAAGGTTCGCAGATCCGGAAGGGGAGATTGGTGAACAATGGAGACGGAAGAGAAGAGGAAGATGGTACTGGAGCTTCCTCTAAGTGATCCGGAGGCTGCTGCTGTTTAGGTGCTATGGGCTTCGAGCGAGAAGAAGAAGACGCAACTTTCCGGGAGACCGGAGGCACTTGCCTTGGCGGCGGTTGCTGAGAAATCCTAGGAGGCGGCGGCGGAAATGGATCTCGGGGAGAAGTGGCGGAAACATGAGAACCATCGGAGTCTGAATCGGAATCCATCAACAATTACTTTTTACGGAATGAATCATTTTGAGATATTGAATAATTTGGGTTAATACGCTAATGCGAATTATTCCCCGTTTTCCCGCCATATAATTATGTTTCTAAAATATTTTAGCGATGACTAAGTTTTCTTTTACCATTTGACTTTGCATATACATTATAAAGTTGGCCTTCTGATCATAAAGTTGTATGTTTTAGACTTTGCAAACATAAATGTTTTGTAATTCAGTGTCCTGATTTGTAGAAATCAAGACAGAAAAACCAAGTTGTATGTTTTAGACTTTGCAAACATAAATGTTTTGTAATTTCCTTGTTGTTTGTTGTTGTGTCACCACCCAAATTTAAATCTATACAATCCATATATTGACAAAAAAAAACAAAAAATATATTATTAAAAGGAGATGAAACAAAAATAAAATAATTCCATTTTTCATAGAAGAGGAGAAAATACAAACATTCCATTTTTGTAAAACCAATTTTAATTCCAAAACACTTCGACAGTCAGAGAACAGGATGATTGACAAGTAACAAGGTGTACAGTGTTCACTGAAAACTAAAAGAGGAGAAACTTGAATAATACAAAATAGTTTATTTGGTACACAACATGATAATAATAATCAAATCAAAAATAAGAAAAAAAACTTTACAATTCATGCCACTAACTGGCAACCAAAATCGTGTGCTTTCCTCTCACAAATTAGCTGCAACAAACGTAAATACACTCTATAGATCTTAAAAACAAAGAAAACCCAAGCAAACAACAACAAACTTTATAAACAAACAACATAAAAAATGCTTAGTTAAAGAAAAAAATCACATTATTGAGCAATTGCATTTGTTCTCCAGTTTAGGAGGAGGTTTCAAATTATCTCCCTTACTAGGAGGAAGTCCAACTTGACGTATCAATGTATCATCATTGCTTCACCTGCATTTTCATCATTCTCTATTTGCACATCTGTTTTCTCTTTTGTTTCCGTTTGCTTCTGACTCGCTTTTGCGGATTTGGAGCTCTGTTTCTTTGCCTTTGTTTTGTAACTAGTTCTGTTCGCATTCAACTTTCCAAGTACTGTCACTGCAAGATGCAAACGCAATGCTTCTTCTTCCGCTGGCACATCCTTTGCTTTATCCATTGCTACTGTTGCAGCCTGGTAAACTAAATCATGAACAATGGAGCAGCAGAACAGTATTGTATCAGTGGCTTCTTCAAGCGTGAGGCTCTTCGGCTCTTTTCGACCTGGACACTCCACAATGACGGTTGACTCATCTGCAAAGAGCAAGAAACCATGTCTAAACTTCGCAAGCTTGTAATAAAACACTTATAAATAAACAATAGTAAATTCAGCACTGTGAGATAACATTATCACATGAGACAACGAGTAAATACCTAAGATTTCGTTTACAGGAACCGAGGAGTTGTGGTGATCCACAGAACCATCTGCCATATTCTTCTCTGAGCAGTCATCCACTGCATTTAGGTTGCACTCTGACTCTGGAATTTCATCATGACCCCCTACTAAACCAGGTGTTTCGGGTTCACAATTCTCGGGTTCTATTTCTGAGGCTGCCGTGGTGGATGAACCATGGCGAGGAGTTTCATTTCCATCCTTTTCTTATTGCTTAGAGTGATCATAAAGAGAACATTCATCAGTGACAGGTGATTCTCCTAATTCTGATGTGCTCCTTACATGTGTCAGTGATTCACTTATCTCCACTTTGCTCATCACAGTATTGGCTACATCATCTCCATTTTCACAAAATCCATCATCAACTATCTCTGGATTATGCTCCGCCATGGCAACAACTACATGTGGAAGTACCAATTGATTCACCGCTTTCACCGAAATCAGCATTCAACACATTGGTTTCTCTACACTCCGGATCTTGGAGTTCAGGGTGCGATTCTTGATGAGTTTCATCGTGGGCGCATGTCATTTGGGCGGCACACACTTGAAAACTATCCTCTGTCATGACATTTAGAGCCTGGCAGTCCTGGCTTGAGACGCCAGATGGAGATGACATGCTGCTCAGGGACTTGGAGTTGGTATCATACCTATGAGTTTCCATGTCAAGCGTACTCCCAGATGTCGTACATGGCTTCCCTTTCTTATAGAGGAACCATAATCCCAAGATGAAGATGCAGAAGTAGTTTATGTGGAGCTTCTAAGACTAATACTTTTATCCCTTAACTACGAAAAGCCTTCATATGATTTCGTAAAACAACTGGAGTTATTAGGTTTAACGATGGGTAACTTCATACTGACCGATCTCTTTATAAGCAAAGGAACCTCCCTACCAACTGAAGAACCAATCTTCAAATCATTATGCCCATCAGAAAGCTGAGTTTCAGTACCTTTCGTGCATGTACTCAATAGACCAGAGTCAGTGGAAGACTGAATTTCATCCTGGTGACTGAGTGTTTCCATATCTTGATCTTCCAAAGACCCAGAAATGGAGCTCTTGCGCAAACGATTTTGTTCTTGCTTGTAGGAATTATCGAAGTGCTCCATGTTTTCTCGTGTCTCCACGATCTCTGCCTCCATAACAAGGGGCAGCGATTCTAGTACACTTATTGCAGGAATTTTCTCAACAAATGACGTCTTTTCAGTAAGATGTTCCTGAGACTCCTTTGGGAAATTTTCATGAAGAGCCGTCGTTGTTTCAGAGGAATCTGCTTCCACGAAAATTTGTTCCTCCCTGCAATCTGGACAAATATTTATCTCGCTTCTAGTTGCTTCAATGGTGCGATAGTGGGAACCACATCTACCACACACCTCCATAGATTCAAGAGCAACCCCTTCCAAAAAATCATTGCCTACATGAAGACTACCATGAGTCGAACTGTTTTCAACGTCCGAAACATGGTGGTTGACCTCCTCATTCACACTAGACTCGCATTCAACGGCATAACCTTGATCCATATCACCAAGCTGATCACTGAAAGAAATCTCATGTCTGCTACCTTCATTCAATAAATCTACTATACCAGACGCAGTAATTTCTTCATGTTTATCAGGATAATCCAATTTTCCAACATCAGATTGGAAAATAGGGATAGGATCACTCCCTTTAGCATCTGGCATGAACCCTACACCTTGGCCAGAAATTGAATTGCTCTCCACTGTTGCAGAAGAATGTCTTACCATAAGGTGATGGTAAGAAGAACTACCTTTCCCAGAATAGATTCCTGTGCTAGGAAGGCTAGAAGCAAGAGGCCTAAACATGCTATGCTGGCTTTTAGGATGATCCTGCATGAAAAATGTAGATCATAAACAAAAGTTCACATATCTCTGCAAATTCAACTAGGGGAGACGACCAGAATTCCTACTCAAGTTTATGTATGCTATCTGCAGTCTAAGCAGGAGAGACTTTGGAATCTAAGGAATGTAACAGAAAACAAATGGAACTCAGAGCAAGCTATTTTGTGGTAGATATGGCAGACTGACAACAATGTTCTATGATGTGTTCTCAACTTCTCATACACTGTTTGATCATATGTAAGAAAACTAAGTCACGAGTGAAATCAGTAAAATACGAACTTTTAATAGGTAATGAAAAATCATAGAATCGTGGACAAAAGCTAGAAAATGAATGCAGTATGCTATTTGATATGTACCATTTGACGAAGAGCAGACTCAAACGGCCTTCTAGGCGCAGAACCAGGTGACAGTAATTTTGAATTTCTCGAAGTTCTACTATTTGGAGAAAGGCTAGCTCTTTTTGGGACTGCACGTTCTGAGCCACCTACAAGAATAGACTGTATAGAATGAAGATCATCATCTCCAGATGATGCTACAGAGCATTTACTATGAGAACTAAACCGGTCACGCTCATGACTGTGAGATGAACTGACACTTCTGGAAGCACTAGGAGAAACAGATTGTCTGCTGCGTGTTGAGGCTGCATCCCTGCCATTCTGGATGCTGGGGAGGAGCCTCTTACATAAGATGCGGGTCGATCACCCAAAGACGTTCGGAGATTTGGTGGTGCATCCAAGGAGAAACCAGGAATGTTGGACTGCCACACTTTTATTTTGGATGAAGCAGAGTTGCCTCGACTAGATCTGGCAGGAGAAGTACCCCTGAGAGCTGGCGATGCCATGGTAGTTGACCCAGTGCTCATCCTTCGTGAAGTTGGGGTCGAAGATATTGATACAGGTCCTGACGGTTTCCCTGGAGTAGGAGAAATCCTCCTAACTGGGGTAACTGATCGTTGACCAGACGCGGGACTAGGATGGCGTGCTGAAGATGGCCTTCCCCTTATTTGCTGCATATTGTCAGCTCGAGGTGATGTGCTTAAGCGATTTGGGCTTGCACTGCCCTTACTACTACGGCGTCTCTTCTCCATCTACACATATATGTATGCATATTCAGCTTAGTGAATTAGGTAGTGCAACAAGATCTGATTCGAGATCAACAGTGTTACACATAGAAAGACATTATATTAGTATATAAATGGGTACCGTGGAAGATCTAGATAACGAAATCTGACTTTGCGGTCTCCCTCTTCTCTCAACATTAGCTGCTCGTGGTTCGTCATTCAATGAAGGAAACAGTGGTGTTTTGGGAGGCATCAGCAACCTTTCATTTGATTATGTTAAGACAATGAGTTGAAAGAATATGAAAAATATAGGCATCCAAACGAGCATATAAAAAAAAGAAAGTTGTGACAATAGTCAATAGTACAGTAATGTTCACAGAAAAAACTATAGTAATGCCAACAAGAAGTTTATGTGAAGACGCAAACGACTTTGAGTATTACTCAACTAGTCAACTTTAGTTTTAGTCTCGATTGGGCTGGATAATATGAATTCATTGTAACGATAAATCAGGAAGTTAATTAAAAAAAAAATCCAAGTTAGATATGAAAGCTACCAATCATAGTCGTTTTTACGCCTTCTGCACACAGTAATCTGCTACTCTCTCCTTGAACAGGATTGGTGAACTCCGAAAAGTGCTTCAATTTTGTAGCTGGTGATAAATGTCCGAAATTAGAAAGAATGAACTAGAGATCATGGTAAGACAGATGACAGAAACAATCTACGCCCATACATCAAAGAAAAAAAAAACTTACAAAACGCATCTTCAAGATCATCTGATGACTGAAGCAAGAAACCATCTCTTTCTTTGTCTTGCACCTCATTAAACAAGGCAAGATCTTCGTCTTTATCTCTGAACAGTATCCCATATTCAATGTTGTGTCCTCGTCTATGTTTCGTCCCTGGAAGTTCCCTGCCAGGAGAGCATCTCAATGCCGCCGGGGAAGGAGGCATCTCTGTTTTCCTAACTACTAAGACTGCACACGGCCTCGAAAAACGCTAGCCCGTTAGACCACAATTCACTTCTGGCCAATAAGGTCTTTTGTGATAACATATAAATCCAAACATATATCCCTCAAGCTCAACGGTCTTATACTGAACCACCTGAAAAGAAGCAATAGTCATTGGTTGTTATAACAAAGGGATTATAGATACATTAATGGAATCAGCTTTTGAAGCAGAGAAAGTCAAATCTTAACATAAAAGCTCAGCAGCATGACCTAAAGACCCTAAATTTTATCACAATTTTAGCTACAATCCCGTAACAGGGTAAGATTGTTGTATAATCTAAACCCTAGCTCCACTCCTTCAATAACTTGCTCTAATTGCAATCGGAGCTCGCCAAATTCTACCATTTCCAGAAGTTTAAACTCACCAAAAATTAACTAGCAGACTCTTCAGGAAAAACTAAGATCTCGGCCTTAAAGATCAAACCCAGGTCCTTAATGGCCGAAAATAGAGAACCAGGAAGATGCTAATTCCGTACAGATCAAAAGAGCAGAGACCCGAGTGAGATCGATTCGGTTCAATTTGCTCACGCACTTTCCTCTCTTTCTCTCTCTACTCAGTGAAAGCGAGTGAAGAAAATGTTATATTTCAATAGCATTTACTTTGCTTTCTCTGAAAGAACAACCAAATCTTCGATTCTTTGCCCTCTCTTGTTTCTGCAGACTGTCAGATTTGCTTCTTTGCACTGCAACAAAGCTGGATTCTCTCTTTCTCTTTCTCTCCTTCTCTCTCTACTTGTGCAGACTTCTCTTTTCTCGAGCTTTTTGGGGCTTTTGTGTTTATGTGATCGTAATTATTTCTGGAAACCGTGACCGAAGCTCTGATTAAAGGCAGAGACTTGGATGCAGACAAAAGAGCTCATTCTGATAACTCTTTTTTCTATTTTTTACGACAATTACTGTAAAACTCCCAAACTTATAATTTTTCCTAAATCGAACATGACCTACAAAATGTCATAAAGGAACCCAATTGTTTTTGATGAGGATTGTAAATGATTTTTAACATTATCGATAAAACTAATATTAAATTTGGATTCTCTCTATGCTGATTTAGCCATGATATAGATAGAGATCATTTTAAAACTATTAGCATTATAGATCATATACAAGTAATAGAAATCATGATTATGCATTATGTAGCTTTCAATAATATTTGCAACTCTTTTGTTATATCATGATCATTACAAAGGGGCCTTATTATAGGATAGCAAGATAACCGTTCAGACAATCATATGCAGTTGGTGAGTAATGAAATACGTATCTATACTAAGGATTTGGATACTCTTATTTTAATTGAATTTGTTTCAAATCAAATAAGTGGGGTTATTTTTAATTTTTACAAGTTTGGGGTTCTTCTAAAATATTGCACTAAAATTTCTTTTTAATGGAACTTTTACAGATGACTTAATTTTTCGTCCAGTTATTTGTTTATGTTCCACGTAAATTAGAAACAAACTGACTTCAATTAATAAGGTCAAGATTCACTAACACGCAATTATGGATCTTATCTCTTTTATTATTGGTCTAGTAATGGCGGCATTAATAACTTATTTGATTTGAAACAAATTCAATTAAAATGATATCGATAAGTGTTATTTGCGACATAAAATGAGATCAAAAATATAATGTAATAAACTAAGTATTATTTTAATTAAACTTTTTATATGTATTCAAAATAATATTAAAGTTTGCCAAAAAGTTATATCAATATAAAAAATTATTGTAGATAGAAAAAACTGGAACTATTGTATCTTAAATACTGAATTTATAGTTTCATTTTAGAATTGTAAATTTCAGCTCTTACTATCATTATTATCATCAGTTATTTATAGAATTCATTTTTAATACTACTCTCTCCGTTTCAGAATACTTGTAATTCTAGCCATATTTTTTTTGTTTTGTCATTCTCATTTTTAATACCAATTTTAGTATTAAATACCTAGTTTAACCTTGATCTAGTGAAGAATATTAATAGTCAATTTGTTTTTTAAGAGTATAATAATATTTTAATCTATTTTGTTAATCTGCTATAATTTAATAACCTATGTAAAATGTATGTTTTCTTTTTAACTAAATGTAAAATGTATGTCGTTGAGAATGATGTAATTACTTATATCATAAGTGCAGATCTGACTTGTGAGGAAACTTATATACATAACTATAGTCACATTCAATTACTTATTTCAATAATTTTACAATACGTCATTGCACTTATTGCACACATACCATCAATTTTACGGTTTAATTCAAAAAATTTACTCAGATTGATTTTAGTTGTGATTCTTGACTGGAGTAAAAAACTACTCTAGAAATGCTAATCATATGGGTTATAACTTCTAACTTCTAACTTCTAACTTCGGGGATCTAAAAGTCGACAGTCGGCAATAGTTAGTTGACCGTATGACAATTCACTTGATGATTAGCTTAGGTGTGTAAACAAATTTAAGACATAATTACATCTTTCATAAATAGAGATTAATAATTAAAATAAGGTGCCAAATGATTGTCTCTGCCAATCCGAATGGTGTTAGTTGACAAATGTATGTTTCAATCATGTGGCGACCTTCTTTGTTGAGATGTCAATTTTAATTTGATTTATTTTTTCCCTCAAACACGAATGAATATTACATTTGTCTTACTAATGACGTGTCTAAAGTAGGGGTGGGCATTTCGGTTTAGTTTTGGGTACGGTTCAGTTCGGTTCGTTCGGGTTAGTAAATCTCTTGCCAACCTAAACCATAGTTAGTTTGGTTCCGGTTCAGTTTCAATTCCATTAAATGTTAGGGGAAATTTCAAAACTACAACTACATTTTTTGAGGTGCCGATTTTCAAAAATACATATTTATGGTGTTTATTATTAAAACTACACTTTTTTCATGGAGTAAAAGAACTTTAAACCCTAAAATATAAACCCAAAACCCTAAAATCTAATATTGAACCCTTAAATTTAAACCCTAAACCCCAAAATCTAAACCCCAATCTAGGATTGTAAACCCAAACATATATATTAAAATTATGAAAAAGTGTATTTTTGAAAATTTCCACACTATAGATGTAATTTTGAAAATTTACAACTCAAAAGGTTATTTCTTAAAATTTCTCAAAATGTTAAGAAATTTAGGGGGAACGACTCATATAATTCTTTTTCAAGGGTGGAGGACCAAATATAGGAGAAAAGTCCAATATTATTTACATAACCTTAAAATGTAAGTACTACCCATGTTACCCTTATTTCCTTTAAAAACAAAAACGTATTTACAGTTTTACCATTAATGAAAAATGTGATTTTTATTGCTGAAAAAGAGATTCTGTGGAAAAATCTATCATTCACTTGGTGGTAGAATTAATGAACTTTTAATAGATTTTTGATAATGTATGCTAGATTTTTAAATGTATGATAGATTTTTGCGTTGGGTGATAGATTTTTTTTTTTATTGATAGACTTTTCGAAATAATGACATGGTAGACTTTTGTGTTAGCGGTAGATTTTTAACAGTTGTGATAGATTTTTCTTTGATGTTTTGGTAGATTTTGTTTGGACGGTAGATTATTCGATGGAGTGATAGATTTTTCATGTAGACTTTTTATTTTCTGGTAGACTTATTACCAATGACGGTAAACATTTTTGCGTTTGATAGACTTTTGATGTAGTTGCGAAAGAGTTTTGCTGTATGATGTAGTGGTAGACTTTACGTAGTTGTGGTAAACTTTCGTTATGTGACGATAGATTTAAATTTTGTTGATAAAGTTATAAGGATTGGAGGTTCATGGTGGTAGATTTTTAGGTAAAATGGATAAATTTACCTCACTTTACTACACTAACCTCGAAAACGCGGTGGATTTATGGAAGGATAAGAGATGTAGCCGTAGATTTATAACATAACATGAAATTTTTTTCATGAAATTATTCATAGGTGGTTGAATAATTAGTGTCGAAATCGCCATTAATGTTAAGCTTCGATAGTGCATTAATTTGCCTATGAATTATTGTCGAATTTCCCCAATTGCAAATCGAGAACTTCGTCTATGACGGCTACAACGTCTGCGTCTCCGTCGTCATAATCGCGATGGAGCAACCAATTCTGGTATGTGGGAAATGGAGTTTCTATCGCAATAGTTGGTTCTTCTTAGTAGACAAATCTAAGGGAGGCAGAGTAGTTGGTGTTGGTCGGAAAACCTCTTTCACGCAGTTAATGAGAATGGTATGTGAGGAATTCGGTTTGGATCTAAATACGCAGGAGGTTCAGTTGAGTTATTTGTTGCCGAAGAAGGTTCTGGATATTTTGCCCGCCGATACACCTCATGTTTTCATAAGCTAACTCCAAACAATTTTTGGCCTATCTGCAACAAATTAAGACGAAAACGACACGTCTATGCGTTGAGATTCAGACGAAATCAACGGAGGGTAAACCAATGGAGGAAGATTTTCAACAATCCAGTCCTGACGCAGAAGGAATTAGGCCCAAAAACATTGACGATGATGGAGAGGAGGATATGACTCTGTTAATTTAGCGGTTGGTCAGCGCTTCGATACCAAGACGAAATTGGAGTTGAGATTGAAGATGCTTACGGTAGCACTAAAATTTGACTACAATGTTGGGTATTCAACCCCGACGCTATTGACAGCTAAATGCTAGGTTGAAGGATGCAGTTGGAGAGTTCGGGCCACAACTGTGGGGCAATCTCGTGCTTTTCATATCAAGACATATGTCCAACAACATTCATGTTCGATTACGGAGCGATCAGCCCGTGCACGTCAAGCTACATATAACATATTAGGACGTCTATACAAGGATTTTGTAGGTGGTGTTAGACCAAGAGTTTTGCCTAGTCATGTTGCCGACGGTCTGAACAGGCGTTACTGACTACATGTATGTTTAAGGTTTTCGTTCGTAACTAACCGCTAAGGTAATCTGTTTATGTTAAGTGATTAGGTTGGTTATTGTGTGCACCAGGTAGACTATTGGAAAGCACATCGGACATTGAAGTTTGCTAGACGACTAGTCTCCGGTAGTTTCGAGATTGGATACCAGGATCTGCCCATTTACTTATACATGATAAGACGAGCTAATCCAGGGACACTTACAAAACTTGAAATAGACGGCAAAGACCGATTCAAGTATCTCTTCATAGCATTTTCAGCCATCATACACGGGTTCCGGTATATAAGGAAAGTTGTGGTCGTTGATGAGATTTTCTTGCAAGGGAAATATAGATGTACACTTCTAATAGCAACAACGCAAAACGGAAATTTCAATATTTTCCCAATAGCTTTTGGGATTGTTGATACAGAAAATGATGAGTCATGTGAATGAATTTTCAGTCAATTACACCGTGTTATCCCTGACGATGAAGAACTAGCAGTGATTTCCAATAGACATGGATTAATCATTAGAGCAATTGCGATGGTCTATCCATTGGCCAGTCGTGAAGTTTGTACCTATCATTTGCGAAAGAATGTTATGCTTAAATTCAGAGGGAAAAAATCTTACAAGGTAGTGAAGAAGGCGGCGGCGGCATACCGTCTCTTGGATTTCAATCTGATATTTGCTCAGATTCAAGGTTTGGATCCCGAACTACATACATAATTATTTGGTAAAGGCGGATGTGCGTTTGTGGACACGTGTGCATTTTCCTGGAAACAGGTACAATTTCACCACAAGTAACATTGCGGAATCTATGAATCAAGTCCTCTCTCACGCAAGGGGTTATCCTATAGTCCAACTTGTGGATGCGGCGAGGTCGATGTCAACAAGATGGTTTGCTGCAAGGAAGAGAAATGCGAGTTTGATGAAAACTCTCCTCACAACCGGAGTTGAAAAACTACTTGAGGTACACTTTGATGCATGTTTTTGTTAGTCGCTGAAAGCTATTACAATTCTAACTCATTAATTGAAAAGCAGTCAAGGGTGGATAATTCGAAGCTATGGACAGCTCAGGAGATTGATAATGACCAAATACAAGTGACGTGCGGGGGAATTTTTCAATATAATGGCGAGAAAGTGTACATGCCGGAGATTTGACATGGATAAAATTCCATGTGTACACGCAATTTCAGCTGCAGAGACCGCAAATATATCACGAATCACACTGCCACATCCGCACTTCCGTCGAGAAAGTGTTGGCAATGCATATGCAAAAGTGGTGATGCCTCGCGACATATCTCAGCCGGCGCCTCAAGTTGTCTCAGATAAGGTTTGTAAACAACCTATCGTGCGGCAACCACTAGGTAGGCCTAAAAACTCACGTATTAAAGGTGTACTAGAGGTGCGAAGCCTAAACCAGAGGTCTACTGTGTTATGTGTTGAGTTGTCGCAAATAAGGTTTGGGCTCTCATAAAATTGGGCTTCTGTCACCCTCGGCACAGAACTTGGATTGTGTTGAATTGTGTCGAACGCGTGTTTAGTTTTACAATTTTCATGTTGGTCTTGGATTTATCTGTTATGAATATTGTTTCAAACTTCCCTCACCCAACTATTTACCTGTGAAAACAGTATGAAAAGACAACACAATAAATGCCTAGTTTTAAGATCTCTATGATGACAGGAAAATCTGCAACTAGACACCTTCATGGCAAGGTCTAATCTTTTAGTGCCTTTGGAAACAGAGTTGTTTGCTCTGTTAATTTCAAAACGGTCAAACAAACAATTAATGTAGACGTTCTGAAGCGGTGTTCAATATAATATGATTCAATATTATGACCTAATATGCCACCCTATAAATACTAAGCACTCCACCACTGTTAGCTTTAAAATATAATCATATTAACACTCCAAACAATGGTACAATATCAAAAATCTCCGAACTTTCTCCGGCCAGGAACTGTAACATCCATAAACCAAAAATTGGGAATTTCGTCGGTTCAATTTAAGTGATTTGGTTTGGGCCGGTTTAGTGGAGAAAGCCCTAAAATCAAGTTTAAAGAGTGCAGCCGTCTTCTCTTTGGAGAATTTTCGAGTCAAAGGCTGCAGAGGAGAAAAGTGGAGTTTTTGGAGAGATTTTCGAGTTTTACTGTTCATCGGGGTACTGTTCATCGGTTACTGTTCATCGTCGGGATTTCCGCACTGTTCATTGTCTTTCCTTCAGTTTCAATCCATTGTCAAGGTGAGTGCATGACTGTGGGTCCGCGATTTGCTAGATTAGATTTGGTTTATGATTGTTCTTGATGAGTTTTTGTGTTTAATTGTTATTTCATGATATTTTGGTTGTTTATGTGGTGAATTGTGTGTTTGTGTGGTTAAATCTGTTTAATTGAATTTAATTGATTTGATTCTGGTTTATCTTGGTTCAATTGAATTTAATTGGTTTATATTGGTTTAATTAATTTAATGATTTGATTCTGGTTTATCTTGATTCAATTGAATTTAATTGGTTTATATTGGTTTAATTGAATTTAATTGGTTTAATGGAATTAAATAGATTTAATTCGGATTTAATTAATTAAATAATATTTATTTAATTAAAATTTATTATTTAATTTAATTATTTAAAATTGAAAATTATTATTTAATTATGAGAATTATTTAATAATTGAGAAATTGAGTTTTAATTATTAAAAATTATTTAATAATTGGAAAATGGTATTTAATAATTATTGGAGTTTATAAATATTATTAAATATCTAGTAAATTGCGTAAATGGCTCGTAGGCAGAGTGATTGCCTCACTAAGTATTTATTAAATACTTACGCAACTCCATTCCAATGTGTTGCAGGTAAAAGATTTGTGTGATCGCGGAATCAAGGCTGAAGAGGGGGATGATAGGATGTTTACTGTTTTATTGTTTTGCATTATTTTGCTAGACTTGTTTAATTATTATTTGCTTCCGCTGAGCTGATTTATTTGTTATTGATATTTTATTTATTTAATTTATTTTAAAGACCTTCGCTAGAATTGATTAATATTTAATTATTAAAAAAAAAAAATGTCGGTTGTTTCAGGAACGATTGGACGATAAGGGTCAAAGTTTTGAAGAAGTGGAGCGAGATGATAAATACAAAATCACTGCATTAAAACAAATACCAACTAACCTGTTCCGGAGTCACTTCACAACCCTTCTTATCGTTGTTCTCCCCAACAATGTCAAACTCTGCATCATACACCTTCTCCTCGGCTACTTCATCGCCTACTTCATTCCTTTTTTTCGTCGACCCCTCCTCCACAGTAGTTTTGTTCGTCTGTAATAGTTCAAACTTCGTTCTCAGCTCATTCAGTTTCTCAAGAATAGTGTTAAGCACATTCGCTAGTGCTTCATCAGCAAGGCCTTCAGTTGGTTTTTTTAATCTCTTCCATCCCAACCTAACCCATCTTCCTTTTTTCTGAGATTCAGAATCACTATAGTCTCTCGGCTCCATCTTTTTCCTCTTCTGCTCTTCCTTCTTCTTACTTGAAATCTTTCGAAAAGGCTTCTCTACAAAATCATCATCACTATCTACCACCACTTCTAAATCTTTCTTCCTCTTCTTTTTGCATTATTCTTTACTGTTTTATTGTTTTGCATTATTTTGCTAGACTTGTTTAATTATTATTTGCTTCCGCTGAGCTGATTTATTTGTTATTGATATTTTATTTATTTAATTTATTTTAAAGACCTTCGCTAGAATTGTTAGTATTTAATTATTAAAAAAAAAAAATGTTGGTTGTTTCATTTTGGTATCAGAGCCTAGACGGTTTTAGGACTGTTAGAATTGCTAGGTTAGTATCATCCCCTTCAGCTACAAGAGATTCCGCGGTGAGTTTATGTTTGTTTTGAGTTTTGGTTGCGTGTTCTAGTGTGCTCTTTTCGGTTCCATGAGTGAGATGGACTGAGTAGCTAGAGGTTGTGGCGCGAGAGGGCGCGGTGCTAGGCCGTGGTGGCAGAGCTAGAGGCCGTGGAGGTCGGGGCCGAGATTGTGGACTTCGGCGGATTCGGGAGAGAGTGTGGTGCCGAGTGTGGCGACTGCGTCGGTGACCCAGTCGGTATCCGTGGCGAGTGAGGCCAGTGTGGATGCGAGTGTTGGTTTGGGAGCGGGGGCTGCTCCGGGTTGGGGTGGTGCTCCGGCTCAGGGTCTTGATGACTTAGTGGTGGGTTTGCTGACGCAGTTATTGGCTCGTTTTCCGCCAGTGGTTCCACAAGGGGCTCCGGGAGTACCTCCAGTGGCAGAGGTGCAGCAGAGGGCTGCGGGATTTGTTCAGCCGCAGGCTGTGGGTTTGATGGTGCCGTCCTACTTGGATATGTTGGGGCACATGCAGAGGATTGGTATGCCGTACTTTGAGGACGGAGTTAGCCCATGCTATGCACATTTGTGGTGGCAGGCCATCGAGGGCATAGTTGTTGTTGTTTTGCTGTGTGTTGTTCATTTATCTGTGATAGTTTTGGAGGTTCTCAACGCAATTGTTGTAGACCTTGTTAGTGGGCGGTTTTGAGTCCCACGTTTTATTCGACTCTGGAGCATCGAATTGCTTCATTACACCGGAGCGTGCCGAGAAGAGTGGCATCCGGAGTAGCGCGGGCGAGAGCGCGGGCATGGTCAAGGTGGCGGGAGGTGGATTCTTGTCTACTTTGGGCCGTGCTAGAGGAGTCGAGATCGAGATTGCGGGGCAGTCAATGCCAGCAGACTTAGTCATCAGTCCGGTGGAGCTGTATGACGTTATTCTCGGGATGGACTGGTTGTCACACTACAGAGTTCATCTGGATTGCTACAGAGGTAGAGTGGTCTTCGAGCGAGATGCAGGGAGGTTGGTTTATCAGGGAGTGAGACCGACTTCCGGGAGTATTGTGATATCTGCTATTCAGGCCGAGCAGTTGTTAGAGCGGGGCTGTGAGGCGTATCTGGCGACGATTTCTATGTCTGAGTCAGGAGCTGGAGTTGTTATGGGAGATATTGAGGTTGTCCAGGATTTTGAGGATGTCTTTCAGTCACTGAAGGGATTACCACCATCTCGGTCTGATCCTTTCACGATTGAGTTAGAGCCGGGGACAGCACCGATATCGAAGACGCCTTACAGGATGGCGCCAGCTGAGTTGGCAGAGCTGAAGAAGCAGATAGAGGACCTTTTGTCTAAGGGGTTCATTCGACCAAGTGTTTCACCGTGGGGAGCACCGGTGTTGTTTGTGAAGAAGAAGGATGGAGTTTCAGACTTTGTATCGATTACAGAGGTCTTAACCGAGTCACTGTGAAGAACAGGTACCCACTCCCGAGGATTGATGAGTTGTTGGATCAGTTGAGGGGTGCTACTTGGTTCTCCAAGATTGACTTGGCATCGGGGTATCATCAGATCCCGATAGATGAGGCAGATGTCAGGAAGACTGCTTTCAGGACGCGTTATGGGCATTTTGAGTTTGTGGTTATGCCTTTCGGTTTGACTAACGCGCCGGCAGCCTTCATGAGATTGATGAACGACGTGTTCAGGGAGTATTTGGACGTGTTTGTCATCATTTTCATTGACGATATTCTGGTATACTCGAGGAGTCAGGAGGAGCATGCGACTCACTTGAGGTTGGTTCTGGAGAAGCTTCGGGAGCAGAAGCTTTTTGCTAAGTTGAGCAAGTGCAGTTTCTGGCAGCGAGAGATGGGATTTCTTGGCCACATTGTTTCTGCAGAGGGAGTTTCTGTGGATCCGGCTAAGATTGAGGCTATCAGAGATTGGCCTAGACCTAGTAGTGCCACCGAGATCAGGAGTTTTCTGGGTTTGGCAGGATACTACAGGAGGTTCGTCAAGGGGTTTGCTACCATGGCGCAGCCGATGACGAAGTTGACCGGGAAGGATGTCCCTTTGTTTGGTCAGCTGAGTGTGAGGAGAGCTTTAGTCAGCTCAAGGAGATGTTGACTACTACACCAGTGTTGGCGTTACCCGAGCCAGGGAAGCCTTACATGGTGTATACAGATGCTTCAGGCATTGGTCTTGGTTGTGTGCTGATGCAGGAGGGCAGAGTGATAGCATATGCTTCGAGACAGTGGCAGGGCAGTGAGCGTAACCGTCCTACACATGACTTAGAGTTGGGAGCAGTGATCTTCGCGTTGAAGATTTGGAGGTCTTACTTGCTAGGTGAGACAGTACAGGTCTTCACGGATCACAAGAGTTTGCAGCATATCTTCACTCAGCCGATGATGAACGCGAGACAGACGCGCTGGGTTGAGTTCTTGGCGGACTATCAGGTGAGCATTAACTACCATCCGGGCAAGGCTAACCTAGTGGCGGACGCGTTGAGTAGACGGAGGTATGATTCCGCAGTTGAGCGAGATGTGGAGTCTCTAGTTGGCGAGATCAGTACCTTGCGTTTGTGTGCCATTTCGCAGGAGCCTTTGGGTTTAGAGGCAGTGGATCAGGCGGATCTACTTAGCAGGATCAGAGTTGCTCAGCAGAGTGATCAGAGTTTGCTAGATGCGACGAGAGTGACTGGTTCTGAGTATGAGGTCTCTGCGAATGGGACTATCTTGGTTCGTGGGCGAGTTTGTGTGCCTAAGGATGTGGAGTTGAGACATCAGATTTTGGGAGAGGCTCACGCGAGCAAGTTTTCCATTCATCCAGGGAGCGACCAAGATGTACCATGACCTCAAGAGGTACTATCATTGGGTCGGGATGAAGAGGGATGTAGCAGACTGGGTTGCGAAGTGCAACACTTGTGCCTTGGTGAAGGCAGAGCATCAGGTTCCGGGTGGTCTTTTGCAGAGTTTACCCATTCCAGAGTGGAAGTGGGACAGGATTACGATGGATTTCGTGGTTGGACTACCTGTTTCGAGGACTTTCGATGCTATCTGGGTGATTGTGGATCGGTTGACTAAGTCCGCACATTTCTTGGCCATCAAGAAGACAGATGGAGCTGCTGTCTTGGCTAGGAAGTTTGTGCGAGAGATTGTGAGGCTGCATGGAGTGCCAGCTAGTATTGTGTCAGACCGTGATCCCAGATTCACTTCAGAGTTTTGGAGGGCGTTTCAGGCAGAGATGGGCACTAAGGTGCATCTGAGTACAGCTTATCATCCGCAGACAGATGGTCAGTCAGAGAGGACTATTCAGACTTTGGAGGATTTGCTGAGGATGTGTGTGTTGGATTGGGGTGGCCATTGGGCAGATCACCTGAGCTTAGTTGAGTTTGCATACAACAACAGCTTTCAGGCGAGTATTGGCATGGCTCCATTTGAGGCTTTGTATGGGAGGCCATGTAGGACACCCCTATGCTGGACCCAAGTGGGGGAGCGCAGCATGTATGGAGCTACTTATGTTCAGGAGACGACAGAGAAGGTTCGTGTTGTGAGGCTGAACATGAAGGAGGCTCAGGATAGGCAGAAGAGTTATGCAGATAGACGCAGACGAGAGCTTGAGTTTCAGGTGGGAGATAGAGTTTATCTCAAGATGGCTATGTTGAGGGGTCCTAACAGATCCATAGCAGAGAACAAGCTGAGTCCGCGTTTTATGGGTCCGTTTCCAGTAGTGGAGCGAGTTGGGCCATTGGCTTACAGGCTGGAGTTGCCTGAGATTATGAAAGCCTTTCACAAGGTTTTTCATGTGTCGATGCTGAGGAAGTGTCTTCACCCTACAGAGGAGTTAGTGGCTAGGATTCCAGAGGATCTTCAGCCAGATTTGACAGTGCCGGCAGTGCCTGTGAGGATTTTAGAGAGGAGGGAAAAGGTTCTGAGGAACAAGAGGATTCCCTTACTGAGGATTTTGTGGGATTGCAGTGGTTCTACAGAGGAGACTTGGGAGCCAGAGGCAAAGATGAAGTTGAAGTTCAGGAAGTGGTTCGACAAGCAGGTCGAGGAGTGAGCTTATTTCATCTTTGTAGCCTCAGTTGTTTTTTTGGCTTTGGTGTTATTGTATTTTCGTTTTCGTTGTAACGATATACATTTTGGAGTTTTAATGAGATGCAGTTTTTCCTCATTTTGCCTTGTGTTGTAATGGTATTCGGATGTTACACATGTTTGACCAGTTTTTGGTTGTGAGACGGTCTAATCTTATGGTTATAGACATTTTGGAATTTTTACTCTAAGGATTGCGATCCTGAATAACTCATCATGTTTTTGGAGACTTCGTTCTCTGGCAGACTCTCTGGGTGCAAGTAGGCCTCAGTTGAGTGTAGCTTATGGGTGCAAGTAGGCCTCAGTATAAGCAGTTTACTTCATCTGGGTGCAAGTGGGCCTCAGTATGGACGGTTGGGTTCGTCTGGGTGCAAGTGGGCCTCAGTGCGGACCGGTGTGGACTTGTCTGGGTGCAAGTGGGCCTCAGTACAAGTGGTTTGAGGATGATGAGTTAGGAGTAAAATTCTTGGAACGTGCTTATGACATAAGATTATGACGTTTGTCTCGGGGATCAGGTGAGGATCTCCGGTGTTGCGGCCTTGCGAGGTCGGGTTTTGTGGTCTTTGTGACGTTTGTTGGGATTCGAGGACGAATCCAGTTTAGTGGGGGAGAGTTGTAACATCCATAAACCAAAAATTGGGAATTTTGTCGGTTCAATTTAAGTGAATTGGTTTGGGTCGGTTTAGTGGAGAAAGCCCTAAAATCAAGTTTAAAGAGTGCAGCCGTCTTCTCTTTGGAGAATTTTCGAGTTCAGGCTGTAGAGGAGAAAAGGAGTTTTTGGAGAGATTTTCGATTTTACTGTTCATCGGTACTGTTCATCGGGTTACTGTTCATCGGTACTGTTCATCGGGTTACTGTTCATCGCGATTCGGCACTGTTCATTGTCTTTTTCCTTCAGTTTCAATCATTGTCAAGGTGAGTGCATGACTGTGGGTCCGCGATTTGCTAGATTAGATTTGGTTTGTGGTTGTTCTTGATGAGTTTATGTGTTTAATTGTTATTTCATGATATTTTGGTTGTTTATGTGTGAATTGTGTGTTTGTGTGGAATTGTTTAATTGAATTTTGATTTATGGTTTATTGGTTAATTGATTTAATTGGTTTATATTGGTTTAATTGAATTTAATTGATTTGATTCTGGTTTATCTTGGTTCAATTGAATTTAATTGGTTTATATTGGTTTAATTGAATTTAATTGGTTTAATGGAATTAAATAGATTTAATTCGGATTTAATTAATTAAATAATATTTATTTAATTAATTGGTTTAAAATAATTATTTTAATTATTTTAAAATATGGAAAATTATTATTTAATTATGAGAATTATTTAATAATTGAGAAATTGAGTTTTAATTATTAAAAATTATTTAATAATTGGAAAATGGTATTTAATAATTATTGAAGTTTATAAATATTATTAAATATCTAGTAAATTGCGTAAATGGCTCGTAGGCAGAGTGATTGCCTCACTAAGTATTTATTAAATACTTACGCAACTCCATTCCAATGTGTTGCAGGTAAAAGATTTGTGTGATCGCGGAATCAAGGCTGAAGAGGGGGATGATAGGATGTTTACTGTTTTATTGTTTTGCATTATTTTGCTAGACTTGTTTAATTATTATTTGCTTCCGCTGAGCTGATTTATTTGTTATTGATATTTTATTTATTTAATTTATTTTAAGACCTTCGCTAGAATTGATTAATATTTAAAAAAAAAAAATGTTGTTTAATTTAAAAATTATTTAATAATTGAAAAATGGAATTTAATAATTATTGGAGTTTATAACAATTATTTAAATGTCTAGTAAATTGCGTAAATGGCGCGTAGACAGAGTGATTGCCTCACTAAGTATTTATTAAATACTTACGCAACTCAATTCCAATGTGTTGCAGGTAAAAGATTTGTGTGATCGCGGAATCAAGGCTGAAGAGGGGATGATAGGATGTTTACTGTTTTATTGTTTTGCATTATTTTGCCAGACTGGTTTAATTATTATTTGCTTCCTCTGAGCTGATTTATTTGTTATTGATATTTTATTTATTTAATTTATTTTAAAGATCTTCGCTAGAATTGATTAGTATTTAATTATTAAAAAAAAAAAATGTCGGTTGTTTCAGGAACGATTGGACGATAAGGGTCAAAGTTTTGAAGCAGGTGAAGGAGAGCTTGAATCAGATAAAGAAAAAAAAAGAAATCCTGAATTAGTTTTATCAAACGACGAAAAAAGGATTGAAGAAAATTATGCAGAATCGAAGATAAAAAAACGTAAAAATAAAAAACAATACAAAAGCAATACCGAAGCGGAACTTGATTTATTTCTCACAAGGTATTCGCGTTTTCAATTGCGATGGAATTTTTTTTTAATCAAAAAATTCTCGATAATGTAAAAGTATATTGTCTCTTAGTTAGACTAAAAAACCCAAACGAGATAGCGATATCTTCTATTGAAAGAGGAGAGATGAGCCTGGATATTCTAATGATTGAGAAGAATTTCACTTTTACAAAATTAATGAAAAAAGGAATATTGATTATTGAACCTGTCCGTTTGTCTGTAAAAAACGCCGGACAACTTCTTATATATAGAACCATAGGTATTTCATTCGTTCATAAAAAAAAAAAAAAAATAAGTACAAGATACAAAAAAAAAAAAAAAGCTATATTGATAAAAAAAACAATTATGATTTCTTTGTCCCAGAAATAATTCTACCCCCTAAACGACGTAGAGAATTTCGAATTCTAATTTGTTTCAACTTAAAAAAAAAAAATGCGAGGGATAGAAATTTAAGATTTGATAAGAATATTCAAAACTTGACCACAGTTTTGCATAAAAAGAAAGATCTTGATAAGGATAAAAATAACCTAATTAAATTAAAATCATTTCTTTGGCCCAATTTTAGATTAGAAGATTTAGCTTGTATGAATCGCTATTGGTTTAATACTACTAACGGAACTCATTTCAGTATGATAAGAATACATATGTATACGCGATTTCAAAGTAATTAATGATAGATCTTTTTTACTATATATAATATATAAGTTGCGATATATGAAAACAATTGATAAATATGAGGGATTTTCAAAATTGGAATCTTTATACATGAAATGAATTTCATCAATGACATAAGATATCTATTGGAGCAGATCCATAAATAAATTAACAGAATCCTCCTCTTTTTAATCTAAATTTAGACTTTTTTTTTAGAAAATTAAGAAGTTTCTAATTAAATTCAGATCCGTATACAAAAAACCTACCATTATTATTACTGATCAGTAAAATTCATATCTTTACAATTCATATTCAAAAGGGAAGGATTTCTTTTTATGATAAAAACTACATTCATTTCATTTCAAGAAAAAAAAGAAGAAAGCAGAGGATCTGTTGAATTTCAAGTATTCAGTTTCACTAATAAGATACGAAGACTTACTTCACATTTGGAATTGCACAGAAAGGATTATTTATCTCAGAGAGGTCTACGAAAAATTCTGGGAAAACGTCAACGACTGCTGGCTTATTTGTCAAAAAAAAATAGAGTACGTTATAAAGAATTAATTAATCAGTTGAATATTCGGGAATTAAAAACTCGTTAAATTCCAAAATTGTGAATTTAGTTAATTTTTTAGATCTTGAATTTTTTGATAAACTTCTTTTTCAACAATCTAATTCATGCCAGAACGAATCAAGGAAAAACTTATGAAGAAACCCGTTACAGGAAAAGATCTTATGATAATCAATATGGGACCTCACCACCCATCCATGCATGGCGTTCTTCGCTTAATTGTTACTCTAGATGGTGAGGATGTTGTTGACTGTGAGCCAATATTGGGTTATTTACACAGAGGAATGGAAAAAATTGCGGAAAACCGAGCAATTATACAATATTTACCTTATGTAACGCGATGGGATTATTTAGCTACTATGTTTACAGAAGCAATAACAGTAAATGGACCCGAACAGTTGGGAAATATTCAAGTTCCTAAAAGGGCCAGCTATATCAGAGTAATTATGCTGGAATTGAGCCGTATAGCTTCTCATCTGTTATGGCTCGGCCCTTTTATGGCAGATATTGGTGCACAGACTCCCTTTTTCTACATTTTCAGAGAACGAGAATTTATATATGATCTATTCGAAGCTGCCACCGGTATGAGAATGATGCATAATTTTTTTCGTATTGGAGGAATAGCGGCTGATTTACCTTATGGTTGGATAGATAAATGCTTAGATTTTTGTGATTATTTTTTAACAGAGGTTGTTGAATATCAAAAACTGATTACACGAAATCCTATTTTTTTAGAACGGGTTGAAGGAGTTGGGATTATTGGTGGGGAAGAAGCAATAAATTGGGGTTTATCCGGACCAATGCTACGCGGGTCCGGAATACCATGGGATCTTCGTAAAGTTGATCGTTATGAGTCTTACGATGAATTTGAATGGGAAATTCAGTGGCAAAAACAAGGAGATTCGTTAGCTCGTTATTTAGTACGACTTAACGAAATGACAGAATCCATCAAAATTATTCAACAGGCTCTGGAAGGACTTCCGGGGGGTCCCTATGAGAATTTAGAAAGCAGAAGCTTTGATAGAAAAAGGAATACAGAATGGAATGATTTTGAATATCGATTCATTAGTAAAAAACCTTCTCCGACTTTTGAATTATCAAAACAAGAACTTTATGTAAGAGTTGAAGCTCCAAAAGGGGAATTGGGCATTTTTCTCATAGGAGATCAAAGTGGTTTTCCTTGGAGATGGAAAATCCGACCGCCGGGTTTTATTAATTTGCAAATTCTTCCTGAACTAGTTAAAAGAATGAAATTGGCTGATATTATGACGATACTCGGTAGCATAGATATAATTATGGGAGAAGTTGATCGTTAAAATGATAATTTATGCAACAGAAGTACAAACTATAAATTCTTTTGTTAGATTGGAATCTTTAAAAGAGGTCTATGAGCTCATATGGATATTTATCCCTATATTTTCTCTTGTATTGGGAATCGTAACGGGTGTACTAGTAATTGTTTGGTTAGAAAGAGAAATATCTGCAGGGATACAACAACGTATTGGACCTGAATACGCTGGCCCATTGGGAATTCTTCAAGCTCTAGCCGACGGGACAAAACTACTTTTAAAAGAAGATCTTCGCCCATCTAGAGGAAACACTCCTTTATTTAGTATTGGACCATCTATAGCAGTTATCTCAATTTTACTAAGTTATTCAGTAATTCCCTTTAGCAATCACCTTGTTTTAGCGGATCTCAATATCGGTATTTTTTTATGGATTGCCATCTCAAGTATTGCTCCGATTGGACTTCTTATGTCAGGATATGGATCAAATAATAAATATTCTTTTTTAGGTGGTCTGCGAGCTGCTGCCCAATCGATTAGTTATGAAATACCATTAACTCTATGTGTTTTATCAATATCTCTACGTGCGATTCGTTGAAATATAGACGTTTATTTGTACTATTCTGTTTCTTCTAGACGAATTAAGTTAAAAACGGAATATATAGATATTTCTCTTTCGGGTTAATCTTAATAAAAGGAATTTGATAGTTATATATGAGTGAAAAAAACTGCTCATAAATTAGCAGTAAAAAGAAAAATTGAGTCTCATTTCCTA